GGTCTAGATGATTGTTGTCACAGAAGTGTGACGAGTGTGAACCAAGTGTGGCAGTGCATGCCTGTAATTCCAGCACTTGAGAGGCTGAGGCAGGAGCATTTTGAGTTCAAGGTCTGCCAGGGCTGTATGGGTAGTTTGAGGCTAGCCTGAGGTACATAGTAAGAATCTGTCTCAAAAATTGCAACAACTACAACAACAAAAAAGTGACAAGTAGGTACCCGGATGTATTTGTTTGCAAGAGGAATGAGAAAATTAAGATTTAAATGTAAATATCCTCATTTTTAAATATTAGCAACCAATTTACCTTTCAGAAAACATTTTCTGGGCAAAATTCTTAAAATGCCTGCTTATCCATAGGCTGCATGTGGCCCTCGAGACCCCAGCTTGTAGCCTTTGCTGCACATTCCTTAATTAATCACAGCCAGACCTGGGGAGCCAGAAGGTGTGAGGTCGTCCTGAGAGAAGGCCCTTTCGTTCTGCCTTCACCCGACCTCCTGTGCTGGGCGTAATCGCCTTCAAACATGAAAGCCAAACATCACAGAGCACTCCTCTCATACCGACCTTCTCCCCGTCTCACACCCCATTCCACCTGACCACTATTAACTGCAGGGCCCGGGTGACCTGTTCCTCTTCCTACCCAGAGGAGGCCGGAACGGTCCCCAAGAAGCTGTCGCTCTTGTTACGTGTTCCCCCTGGCCAGGCGGCTGGTTTTGCTCTTGGCTGTTATCAAAGGATTAGGTTCCTGGTCAGAGCTGTATTCTTCCACTACCTCAAGAGTGAGAGGTTATTATCTCCCTGGAAACTAGGAATTAAGTTGTCCCCAGGCTCCAGCCTACCAGGGTGTCAGTAATCACTTCGGAGAACCACACAAAACATTGCTAAAGAGGTTACCTGGGCAAGAGAATTTTCATAATGAATGGCTATATTTGCTGTTGCATAAATGATTCATTTCCCCAAATAGAGCGTTTTCCTCTCTGCTGCTCAATTATATATGAATCAGCAATATCTCACTTCACCTGATTGTCTTTATAAAATATCTCTTTCTTAGCCAGTATAATTACTATCCCTGCTGAGCAGTATTAATACTTACTATAATTTCTTAAGCCTTAAACCCTTCAGGCTTTTATTTTACCATTGAAAACAAAACAAAACTAGTTGTTCTCTTTTTGGTAAGACTGGAGCCTCAGGTTCTGATTCTGACAGTCTGGTGTACCAGGAGCTGATGTCTGTGGGCAGATTCGGGTGGGAATTTATACGTGGGGGACTTCTCCCGTGATTAGAGCGCTGCCCGGTTCTGGGCAGCGTCATCCCACGCCAGCTGCGTGCTTGCTGGTGGCCTGTGTTCCTGAGGTCGCAGAGCGTTGCTGATGGAAACGGGAAGTCGGAGACTCCTCTAACGTGCACGGCCAGATAAAGTACCTGTGGCCCAACAGAGGAGCGGCTGCCTTGGTATTCGATTTCATTGAGTGCTCAATATGTGCCAGGCTCTGCTGGCACTTTCCCTCCTAGGGCATTTAATTCTCACAGCTCTTCTGCAATAGGCAGTGACAATTACCCCACTTTAGAGGAAGAAAGCAGCTTGCGCAGACACACAGCTAGAGCTAGTCATAATGAGCAGAGACATTTGAACAAAGTCTGTCTGATCTTTGTCCCTGTTCCTGCCTTCTGAGCGCTTCATGGTGGGAGGGTAGGGGGTGTTTAATGACTGGGCCCCTGCTAGTGCTTGGCACATAGCAATCTTCGAAAAAAATGTCAGCTATGACCATTTTCACTGACTGTCTTTTGTAGAGGCTGGTCTCGAACTCGCAACGATCCTCCTGCCTCAGCCTCCCGAGTGCTGGGATTACAGGCGTGCGCCACCACGCCCGGCTGTAGATCCTGTTAAAAAGTGACAGTTATGAGTTCTCAGAGTCAGTCAGTGGTCTGTGTGGCAAGGACTACTATTTAAGAACACTTGTGGGTCCTGACTTGGCATTTGTTCTAGAGGCCCAAACTAGTTGTCATATCCAGTGAATGTCCTTGGCGTCAGGTCTGTGAGCACGTAAGAAAACAGATCAAGGGGCTGGGGATTTAGCTCAGCGGCAAAGCGCCTGCCTGGCAAGCGCAAGGTCGTGAGTTCGGTTCCTGGTACCAGAGAAAAACCAAAAATAAAAAAACAAAAAAAAAAAGAAAACAGATCAAGAATTAGCTGCTGACATTCAGGTGGCGTTGATATCCAGAACATTGTGATTAGAATATTTCCACAAGCAGAAAGAAAAAGAGCAAGTTTCCCAAGGGCCAAGGGTAGCACAGGATAAACCTGCTGCTTCTGTTTTGTGTTCTCGTGGCCATGTTCTCACTTGGGGATGTGAGGCCGATCTGGCTGTGACGTCCGTCACCCCATTGGTCTCCAGGGTTGATTCGGCTGATGTGGCTGGCGAGGCAGTGTCCCCTCCTCCCTCAGTGCTCCCTCCTGAAGCTGCGCGCTCGGTCAAAGAGGACCACCCCCCCCAATAGAGGGGGACCGTTCCTCGGTGAAGGGTATACGAGTAGCTGCCTCCCTTGCTAGAACTCCAGACAAGCTCTCCCTTGGTATTTAGGTCGTAACTTTGAACTTCCGTCCCTCACACACAAAGAATTTCTGACTTTCCAGTTCTTGAAGTTCTCTGTTTACTTGTTTTTTCAAAGAGAGAAACCCTAGATATGGTTCCATGGAAGGTAGATTAGTAGGTTAAAGCAGAACTTTAAGTGAATTAATTTTGCCACGTGTCCCTCCCATGATAGACGTGATATTCTTCTAAGAGTTGAGAAGCATGAGTATAGTCTGTATTGAAGAGGCAGTAGCTGTCCTTTCCCTTTTTCCTCTGACATTTTTTTCCTTCCTGAATTTTAATGCGAAGTTCAGAATCACCAATTCCTTAAGTAACTAAAATCCCCCTCACACACACACACACACACACACACACACACACACACACACACTGACACACTCACACACACCCCCTAGCAACTCATGGAATGTAATTCACGAGGTACAACTAAGGAACTGCCCTTTGTAGAAGCAACTGAACACAGCCATCGCTAGCTGTGCTTATCTTTAGAACACTGACAGCGGCAGTTTCCTCATAGACTTGATGAGAAAATGCGTTAAATTAGTAGCGTTTGAGGTGCTCACAACAGTCTCTGGCACGTAAACAGTTCGCAGCAAATGTAAGATACTCTTTTTCCCAACGAGAAATAGTAGAATTGACTTCTGATCCGTTCCTTCATTTATTCAACAGCGTTTGCCGTGGGTCATTTTCTAGGGAGAGAGCCCCGGCTCTGAACTACCACCATTTATCACCTCCAGTTTAATTTTTAGTAAAAATGTTCTTCTTCTTTGAGGATGATTGGAAAATGATGTCACCAAATTTAGGATGATTCGTGGTTCAGCAGCATTTTGTTTTTAAGTTTTCAAAACAAGCATCCCGGGCAGATATTGTTTGGTCAGAGCACCTCAAGGGGCAGTGGTTTGTGGCATTGAGGGTGTGTTGAGTTCTGTCTTTATATGGGAGCAGAGAGAGGGAGTGTAGCCGCTGATTCAAATGTTGAAGCTACAGAAATTGTTGAGTCAATAAACAGTGTGCTGCTCCTCAGCTTAGGAGACCAGTTTTTCTCAGTTTACTTTTATAGGAACTGAGGATTTTCTTTACATTTAGTAAGTGAACTTTTGCCTTTGAAGAGCAAAATAAAACATTTACCTTGATAGTGACTGAACTTCTCAGAGACAAGTGAATATAGAAGAATCAGGTCTTCCTACTAAAGTGGTGTGGAGTTTCGAATTTGCAATAATGTAAAATTGGATAAGGGGCCAGGGATGTGGCTCAATAGTAGAGCTCTTGCTTAGCGGCCTGTGGTTAGCAAGCGTGGGGTCCTAGATTCCCTCCCCAGCACCATAAAATGAGGGGTGTGGGGTATGAAAGGACTGACCTTAAATTGATATTTAAATAATTGTTAAACTAGTGTTTTATCACCTAAATAATAATCAAATGTCTGACTAAACAGGTTTACAAGGTTAAGACTGTCATCTTTCCACTAGATTTAACATTCCTGACTTTTTGATATTTCATTAACGGTTTTCATGAGCTGTCCTCAATATGAAATGGTTGCTGGGTTCGGTGGCGCACGCCTGTAATCCCAGCACTCAGGAGGCTGAGACAGGAGGATCATTGCGAGCTTGAGATCAGCCTGGGCTACCAGTGAGCTCAAGGCCAGCCTGAACTGCATAGTGAGACCCTGTCTCAAAAAGATAAATAAATAAATAAATAACACGAAATGGTCATGGTCTTGTTCTTTCACAGCTCTCAGGCTCTAGTGAGTCATTGCACTGCAGGCCTCTGGACCACATGCTGCCAGGAATAGATGCACCGTAGGAAAATAGGACAACCCAAGAGCCGAGGCGAAAAGTGCAGGACTCAGAAGTGTGTTCACAGCTCTGCCGTATTTAGCTGCACAGCCCTGTGCTCATCGCAGTCTTCCCGAGCCCTGGGCTTCTTGTGCATAAAGTAAGGTTTCCAGAACCTCTGCGTAAAGTTAGTGCAACAGTGGAGTTTAATATCCACTGAGGGAGACAGGAGACAGAGCACTTCAAGGGGCAGTGATTCGTGATTTATGTAATTACAGTGGCTGATGAGCCAGCCTGGCAGGTAGCTATTGGAGATCAACAGTGCTTTCTTCTTGTTCAAAAACCAGAACAACAACAACAAAAAAACCCAAGAAACACCTGTCTGCAGCTCAAGAGTAGGTGCCAGTGGCCAGAGTGCTGCCAAGTTCTGGAAAAACGCAGCTCGGACCTTGTCCAGAGGACCATCTGAGGGGATGGTTGTCGTGAACTGGTTTCTCAGATGGCTTCCACTCAACTTTCCCTACAGGGACTGGTGGCATACCATTACCTTCCAGTAAATAGCCCACCCAGCCTTGTTGCTTGGGACATCACTGCTTATGACTGCAGAGAGACAAGAGTTATTTCATATCACCTTCCCCTGCCCACCTCGTCCAGGTCTCTGAGGATAGGCATAAGAGGAACATACCCAACAAGTGTGTATTCGCTATTAGGGACTTCGGCCACAACCCTCCGAGCAGTTTGGCCTGGGTTAAGTATGACCTTCCAATGCATCAGTATTTTTGTCAATATTAATCCTTAGTTATTTCGGATAGATCAGGCCTGCAATCTCCCAAACGAGTGGATAGTGAAGGCTGAAATAAAAGAGACAAGTGGTATGATTTTAGGGCTCCAGGAAGATCAAACCTCTCCAACACAATTCAAGATTCTCTGAGGGCTAAGACAGAGATCTTCTCTGGGCGGCCCATATTTATTTAGTTATCAAAACTAGGAGGGGAATACTAAGGAAAGGCAGGAACCACTCAAGAGCTTCTCCAAGTAAGACATGTTAATTTAAGAGAACTATGTTATCTCCAGGAAGGTCTCCACCCAGGAGTGAGGTGCCTGCAGCTGCAGCCTTTATCTAGTTAATTGAGTTGGAGCCAGGTGTCCTTAGCTGTGACCTTGTCTTATCCTTTGAGGCATCCTGGCTTCACCTGCCATTACAGGCCTCAGTCAGGACCAGTGACTCACAGAGGTTCACTTACTATGAGTCCACTGCCCACCTCCAGACAAGGGGCCTAGGCCTTGGACAGACTCAGAAGTAAACATGAAAAGCCAATTGGTTAATATTAAATCCTGCTCAAAGCCACTTTGTAGTGGTCTCCATCAACCTTCTCTAGCATAGGCAGATCTGAGCCACCTAGCCTTCCCCTTCCTGGAACTTTTCCCAGACTTCTCCAGTAGCAAGAGAAACAGGCAGAGAATTGTCCTTCTCCTTAGACCTTGCCTACTCTGCTTATTCAGTACTTCCTGCAGTCCAGTGTCGTCTGCCACAGACGGATGGACATTCCTGTGATGTAATAGGAAGGGGGTGAGTTGCAGTTCAGGGCAGGCCTCATTCCAAATCCCGTCTCTGCCTCTTCCTGGCTGTGGCACTTGGGGTCAGTCACTTAGCTCTGATCGTGCGTGTCGCAGTATTAATAATAGTTGAGTAGGTAGCCTCGTTGTGTCCTCAAGAATGACATTTTTTTCTCAGGCCATATGCAAATATCTTTTCCTTAGAGAAGAGACTCTGAAGGTAGGGCAGGGAAATAGAAAACCCGCCCTCTCCCAGGCTCTCCAGCCTGAGAGTGGGTGAGAAGCTCCAGAGGCCTTTTTGACTTACCTCCTGACCCAAACCCCTAGAGCAATGATACTTAAACATCAGGGGCACAATCTACCTTACAATAAAAAACCATACAAACAACTGCAATGGATTCAATGAGTAAAAGATTTTTTAAAACAATTCTTCCAAACAGATGGTCCTGCTCTATTGGAAAGATAAAAGGTGTATGTGAAAGCTGTCCAGAACATACAAGCTACATGTGTTTTCACATGTACAGATGGAAGTGAACTTTTAAATTACTGTGCTTCATGACATATAACAAATAAAGAAACTTAAGGCTTCTGAAACACTTCTGTAGAAGCCCAGGGTTTGTTAAAAGATCAGCTGAAACACTTAGATCATGCAGCACTCAAATCTCCACTAGATTTTCCTCTGCTTGTTGGGTTATAACATGTATGTCTGTGTTGGCTTAACAGGGAATTATGCACTTTGTACCACCAAAAGCCATTTGATGGTAAAGCTGGTGAAATTTGAATAAAATATGTAATCTGGGTAACAGAAATGTGGATTTCTTGGCTTTGACATTTTACTATAGTTATGTAAGATTGTTACCTTGAAGGAAGTTGGTAAATGAGACTTAGAATTTCGAGAGCTTACTTTGAGTTCATAATTATTGAAGATTTCCTTCTTAAGTCATTTGAAAATAATAGTCTTCCACCTGTCGAGAGCATATGCGGCTGTGTTACTAGTGCAGTGTGCACGCCACATTTAAAGAGTGAGTTTTCTTTCTTTTTTTTTTTTTTTTTTTTTTTTTTTTTGTCTTTTTGAGACAGGGTCTCACTATGCAGTTCAGGCTGGCCTTGAGCTCACTTTGTAGCCCAGGCTGGCCTTGAACTCACAATGATCCTCCTGCCTCAGCCTCTTGAGCGCTGGGATTACAGATGTGCACCAGCACGCCCAGCAAGAGTGAGTTTTCTTTTAGCTCACCTAGGTTTTTCTTTTTCCTTTCCTTACCACTGAGTTCTATAAATTCCACATTTGTTCTGTCGATCACTGTAACCCTGCTGAAGTTTTAGAAATGAAACAGCCAATGGCAAGTCAAGGAGCACTCTTTCAGGAACCCTATTTTAGCTGCTGCTTACTTACTAAGATAATGGTGCTGAAATCCAAAATTTCAGTCTGCAGTCTTCTGATGCAGTAGAAGGTATATGAATGGTGTGGCATGTTTTCCTGAAGCATTCTTTCTGCTTACAACATTCAGTCATTGGACCAACGCAATGCCAATCTGGTATGAAATCATTATGTGTTTTGAGTATCAAATTAGAGGCACCTTTTCCCTAGTGTAATGAATATTATTCTATAAGAAAAAGAGAGAGAGAGCTAAAAACTACATTTTAAAGAATACCCTTTTGAGTCGCTCACTTCCCTGCATGTAAAGTAAACTTGGGCGTGCTACCATGAAGTATAGCTGTCTATTCCCTTGGACTTTAGAATGTGCTGTACAGTAATGCCATGTTCTTTGATAAAATCAGTGGTGGTTTCACCCTTTATTACTTGGAGAAATGATACAGAATTCCCTGAGCCAGCTTGCCTAGCGGCGTTGTAATTGCCAAGAAGTGCAGGCTCCAAATTAACCTGTAGGACTGATTGCCTCGTGTGTTTTGACTAAGAGCATCGTGGTATTGATCAGATCTATCAGACACCTGTGAAGGTGAACCGAGCTTGGAATCACTTCTTTAGTAAACGTTTCATTGGTTGCTAATATAACTGCACTTTTTCGAACTCATCCTTCAGGAAAATGAAAAACCAGGTCATAAGGTCCTTGGCATTAAGTAGTGCTTTAGTTACATCGGCTGTGGAAGCTGCCTTGACCCACCCTGGGAGATGGAGACTTAAGGGCTCAGCTTTCCGAAAATCACTTGGTCTGACCAGCTTTTCTGGCTTCTTCCCCAGGGTTATCAATGCCGGGAAGAGCACGCACAACGAAGACCAGGCCAGCTGTGAGGTGCTCACTGTGAAGAAGAAATCCGGGGCCATTACTTCAACCCCAAACAGGAACTCCAAGAGACGGTCCTCCCTCCCCAATGGGGAAGGGCTGCAGCTAAAGGAGAACGCGGTAAGAACCCAGTCCTTGATCTTCAGGAGAGAGGGTTGGTGCGTACGTACTCTGGCCCTGCTGTGAGATGTTAGGGCTTCATTCAAGAATGGAAATGAGAAAAGTAAAATCCCAGGGTTAGTGGGGACCTGGAGTCTGTACTGAGGATGTCACACACTCCAAACTGAGGGTCTCACATGGTGGCTGAGCTGGTGCTTGTATTTTTAACTATGTAAATGAAGAACCATCACTATAAACAGGGTTTTACTGTAGGAGCTAATATAGGTATACTCTTCGGTGGTTTCAGAGACACTACTTCTAGGTCTTGGTGAAGGAAGTGATCTGGAAGCCTCTCGGAGAGTTGGAAATAACTCTGGCTGTTGGCTTGAGCCCTGCTGTGACTCTGTCCCTTCATCTGCAGGCACTGTAGTTGTCCACTTGGAATCTGAGCTTGATGCACTTGCAAATTAATACTTGTTTCCATTGGACCATAGTCCTCGCGGCCCACAGGTGGCCCTGCAGATGGCGTGCTTTCTACTGACAAACCAGAAGCACATCTCCTACCTCCAGCTTCTGGGGAATGAAGCAGCCGTCTCCTCAGAAAGCTCTGAGGAAATCTTTGGAAGTGACTCGGGTCTGTCCCTCAGCAGGTTAATTCGTCCTGTGAAGAGGTGCTCACTGGAAAACGGAGGGGACATTGAGTGGGATGATCCAGTATGCCTACTGTAGTAATCCTGATGCTTTTGTCTAAAATTTCATGGCATTTTAAAAGATCTGGGAATCTCTCCTTAGTCTTGAAAATAGGGTCTGGTTGCTTTTACACTCAGAATAATAAAGAATACAGTTTTATTTTGCTATTACTAGGTCATTTTGGATTAGAAAGCAATGGTTTATGGGATTTGTCAGTTGTACTTACTTTGAAGGACAAACGAGCGTTTGTAAGGTCTGTCCCGAAAGAACCAGAGCTGAGGACCCGGATGGATGGGATGAGACAGCGGTGGTCAAGTGCGCTGGCTGTGGAAGGAGATGGCTCAGTCATAATTCCACTTCTTAGCTCTTTATTTGCAGGGTATTTATTCTTTGAGTCTTAGTTTTCCATTCTGTAGAAAGGACTGTTAACAGTAATAACTGCCCAATGGCAGAAGGAGACTGCTGAGAAGTAGGAAATCCAGTAGTCTGTGGAAGACATAGAGCCGGTGTTTAATTAATAAATCCCTTACAAGTGCTAGTGATTCTTATCCTGAGGCCAGCCCCACTTCTGTCACTCTCCCGGGATAAGGCTGCGTGCCTCTTCTGCGTTTACTCATTGGTGAGTGGTGGATTATTCAATTCCTTTCATTCCTACTTGACAGGGTTATTTTGAGAATTGAGTTATTATGAAAAAGGGTTCAGAAAATGTGAGGCTTTCATGATAATGGGGTATGAATGCCAGTAGCTTAATGTTGCTCTTCTTCTTTTTTTGGTACTTCTCCCCTGCCACTGGAATGTAAAGTGATTTCTGTAAAAATAAGGCAGTGTGGACATCTGTCCCTGGGCTGGTTGATGATGGTGTTTTTCCTTTTTATTCAATTCCTGCCTGAGATGGAGCCGTTTAACTTCTCTTTATGAGAAGGCAGAAACCAGTGCATGTATTTTAGGATGGAGCCCTGACCCTCGCCTTGATGGTTCCGCCTCTCTACGAGACCCCCTTCCCGGGCAGAGGACCACACCCTGGCCGCCCCTTTTCCTGCCCCAGCCACAGCCCTTTTTCTTACATCTGTCTTCCATGTGAGGCTGCTTCTTAGGGTTAAAGGCTACAATACACAGGACAGAAAATTTACCATTTGAACCATTTTCAGGTGTGTGGTTCGGGAGCATTAACTCGTTCCCACCGATTTTTTTTTTTTTTAATTTTTATTTTAAAAGTTAAAAAAAGTAACAAAACAACAATGAAGACAAAATCAAAACAACACAAAAACCACAAAAATGATACATGACCTCAAAACAAAACGATAGGAATTAACAGTCATTGCTACATTACATACTGTTTTGATCAAGGACGTTGCTCGGTCCACCAGATGTAAGAATGTAAGACTGATCAAATGAGCAAAGACAGTAACAACTAGTGAAAAGTTCCCACCAGTTTGAGCCCCTGGTGGTGCACGGGGATCTACTCTCTTTATAGTAGTAAAATAACTAGAAAGACTCCCAAAGGGAGAGTCATGCATGTACCAGCAGTGGTTCAAGCTGCCTGGCAGCAAGACATACGAATTAGGCCCTGTTATGAATGCATTAAATACATTCACATATTTGTGCAACTGTCACTATTATCCAACTCCAGAACATTCCATCTTCTCAAACTGAAACTGCGTTCGTGAAACACTCACTCCGCTATTCCCTCCCTCAAGCCCTTGGCAGCCGCCGTTCCATTTTTCTCTCCCCCTATGACTATGAATCTTACCACTCTAGGTAGCTCACATAAACAGAACCATACAATATTTATCTTTTTGTTTCTGGCTTATTTCACCTGGGAAAATGTCCTCAAGGTTAATCCACGCTGTGGCATGAGTCAGAACTCTCTTCTTAAGGATGAATTGTATTCTGTCTTATGTATACATCCCATTTTGTCTCATCCATTCATCTATCTGTTAATGAGCGCTTGAGTTGCCTTCATCCTTTGGCAATAATAATACTAATAATTATAACACTGTTTTGAACATAAGTGTACAAATATTTCTTTGGGAAATGCTTTCAGTTCTTTTGGATATATATATACCTGATAGTTGAATTGCTGGATATGTAGTAATTGTTCTGATATTTTTAATGTTTTTGTTTTTGTTTTTGGTTTTTTGTCTTTTTGAGACAGGGTCTCTCTATGTAGTTCAGGCTGGTCCTGAGCTCACTTTGTAGCCCAGGCTGGTCTCAAACTCGCAACCAATCCTCCTGCCTCAGCCTCCTGAGTACTGGGATTACAGGCGTGCACCACCACGCCCGGCTTGTATTTTTAATGTTCATTCTGTTTTTTATCGTGGCTATACCATTTTAGATTCCTACCGATACACGAGTGTTCCAATTTTTCCACATCCGTCCTGACACATCATTTTGTATTTTTTGAAATAATAATCATCCGAATAGATATGAGTGCCATTTCACTATAGTTCTGATTTGCCTTTCCCTCATGGTTATGGATGTATTTTTATGCGGTAATTGGCCCTTTATACATCTTCTCCTTTTTTGGTACCAGGAATTGAACTCAGGACCTTACACTTGCCATGCAGGCACTGTGCCACTGAGCTACATCCCCAGCCCTGTATGTCTTCTTCAGGAAAACATCTATTCAAGTCACAAAATGTTCATATTTTAATTAGATAGTCTGTTTTGTTGTTGTTGTCATTGTTTGGTCGGCTTTTTAAAAGCTTGCAAACCATGATGAAGTATGCAGCCCCACCACTGAGCACTTGCCGGGTACCAGGAGTGAGATTCTGGGCATTTAGCAGGGAATAAAATAGAAAAATATTTCCACCCACAGGGAGCTTACATTTATTTATTTATTTTTCTGTTTTCTGTTTTTGGTACCGGGAATCGAACTGAGGACATTGCACTTGCCAAGCAGGCGCTTGTGCCACTGAGCTATATCCTCGGCCCGGAGCTTACGTTTATGAAGATAAATAAAATATATACATTTGTGTCCAATGGTAAAGCCTACAGAGAAAAAGACGGGATGGGAGGGCAGGAGTCCAGGAAGCGGAGATGTCAGATGTGGTTGTAGGTGTCACGATAAGGTGAGATTTGGGCAGAGGGCCTGAAGCTGCAGCTGTGTGGTGGAGGAACATGCTGCTGCCTGCGCAACGGTAAAAACCGTGAGCAGAAGCAGTGCACGTTCTCCAAATAGAGAAAGGAGGCCTTTGTGGCTGGCAGCTCCCGAGGAGCAGAGGTTGGCAAGGTCATGGAATGTGAGCCGACTTGGCAGGTCATTGTCAGGTCTTCGGCTTCGACTCCCAGTGAACAATTTACCAGCAGCGGGCATCAGAGTCACCAGTGATTTCCCCCTCTAGAAGATACTCCCTTAGGAGTAAAATTCACATATAGTGGCAACTCAGGAATCACAGTGAGATCACAGGGCCAGGATCTGTTGCACAGACAGGTAACTGTAGGTAATAGTAATGTACTACATATTTCAGAAAAGCTGTTGAGAGGATGGGGCCTGGAACAGAAGGAAAAAAATAAACATGAGAGACAAGGCAAGCTCCACTCATCCCCTGGTGAACCTTTTGAGCTTGGAGTCTGCACGCTCACTCTGACGAGATGAGCTCAGTACAGTTCTGATCTTGTAAGAGCTGAAGGAGAAAAAGTCTTTCAGCAGTGAGTGACATTACAATGGGGCAAGTTTTTAAAAATGTATTTTTATTGTGTGTGTTAATTTTACAAAATACTGCATTTCAGTATGTTATTTTCTTACATGCGTATAGCATAATTAGATCTGTCATCTCTTCACTGCCCATCTTGACACTGCTCCAGCTCCTCCTTGTACCTTTTCTCTCGTCTAGTAATACAGGGAGCGAGTTTGGATAAAGATACAGAGTCCAGTTGTTATGGAAGCCTAACTCGGATTGGCTGCTCTTGGTCTGGGAACAATGGATCAGAAGGATGGCTAGGACCATGGAAGGCTTTCTAGAGAAAGTGGTCTTTCAGCCGTGGTCCTGAAAAGTGGATAGGTGGGTTGAGGATGTGGCTTTGTGGTAGGGTGCTTCCCTGACATGCACAAGGCTGTGGGTTTGAGCCCCAGCATGTAGGTGCATGCACACGCACACACACACACACACACACAGAGGGAAAGGGAGAGGGAGAGAGAAAGGAAAATAATTATCAAGTGAGCAAAGGGAGTTTCTGATAGAAGGCACACGCACGTGCAGAGAGAGGCTGGCATGAGACAAGCCCTCCAGTATCATGAGCGCATGGGGTCAGTTGCTGGGTGGTAAGGTGGTGAGGCAGGAACCGCCAGCATTTTCACATGTGGTGCTTACCAGATGCCTTGATGAGCTGGGGTTTTAACCACACGACTTCAGACAAGGACAGGATGGATCAGGGCTAGTGGCGGTGGGGAGCGCTGCGTTGGGAAGGCCACGAGTGCAGCCCCGGAGACGGGGATGCCAGCTAAGAGGCTCCTGTGCAGAAACCCGGGTGAGAAATGGGATCCCAAGGTGCAAGGCGGTCAGTGGAGTGGGGACAGACTCAGGAGAGATGCTGTGAGCGGTAGCAGTTGAGGTGACCAGGTGACTGGCCGCTTCCGCCTTTCGAGGTAGAATTATTTTGCAGGCAGTTAGAAATAAAGGTTTGAAGGTCTGGAGCAGTTCAGATGGTTTTAGGTTTGGGGAATTACAATATAAAGATTATAGCTGAAGCCATTATAGACATGGCTTAGCTCACCCAGAAAGAGCAATAAAAGTGAGAAGATTACAGTGCAGAACGGAAACCTAGTGCCAGGAAAGTCCCAGAAGTTCCAGGAAGAGAGGGACCTTGCCAGGAGTGGAGATGACTGTGGCGTGGGTCAGGTCAAGAAAATAATGGTAGGAGAAGGGTGCGCACAAACTAGTATGAGCAAAAGGGCAGCACCAGGATAAATAACTGCTTCATTATCTCACTTGCAAGTAGAGTTGATGGGAAGGAGGACGGCAGACGGAGCTGGGCGGGCTCCCTGCTAACCACATCTTTTCCCTGTCTTCCCTGACAGCTTCCATGTTCTCCCTCCTGCCTTGACATCTTTGACCTCAGTAAATGTAATCAGACCAAAATACAGAATTCTACAAGTGTTCTTTCATGCATAGTATCACCTTCCTCCTCACAGATAGAAGAAAACTAAAGTAGTCCATCAAATAATATGAGATTCACCATGCAAAGAGCAAGTATTGCGGGAATGCTTATTTGTTGGAAATATCAGTGATGTGCAGAAGAGAAGAGTGGCTTTATATTTACTGACATCTCTTCTGTCAAGTGACAGCAGGGTAGCTAAGTAGCAGTAACAGTTTTCTCACCGCAGAGAATTTTTATTTGGTATTAATATAGGGGAAAGAAATGTAATGCCCAACCTGCTAGATGTTTGACACAAATGATTCATGCTCCCCAAAATCAGAGAATGAATTCTAAGGAACAACGGAGGTTAAGAGCAGGGAAATTCTACCAAGAGAGACAGTTCCTGAGAGAGACAGGAAGGAATCTGGAAAATGGGTTGCCGCCCACCCCACTTTACGAAAGAAGTTTTATAGAGCAGCATCACGAGGTGGGTACAACGCGGGACAAAACTATGATCAATCAGTACAATTATAAGTTTAGATGTCTAGGTAGCGGTTTTTAGTTTTTGTTTTGTTTTGTTTTGTTTTCTGGTACTGGGAATCGAACTCATGACTTTGTGCTTGCCAGGCAGGCGCTGTGCCACTGAGCTAAATCCCCAGCCCCTAAGGTAGTATTGATTCAACAGGGAAGCAGATCGCATAGCAGCTGTACCTGGAAAGAACCAGGGCCTTTTAGGAAGAGGTAAATCAGGGGGTTTCGACCACCCACTGCGGTGACTGATGTTAATGTTAATTTATTATCTCTTGGGGAGGCATGCAGGCCTGGTCATTTTGTCTTTCTCTTAAGGCCCGGCCTCCAACAGAGGCACCTCCAGCCACAGTGGTACACGTTTTCATCCTCTGTGTTGACT